TATATACATTTGTACATAATTTAATTTTTCAACATATGCATATATAGTCATTCAGATCGAAGTATAACTTTTAGCAGATTTTTTTGAGATACTTCTGTATAAAAAAGAATATCATATAAATATAGATCATATTCTCAATAGATATTTATTTGGATAATTAGAGGAGTTTAGAATTTTTAGACTATTGTCATAGAAAGTTGCATGTTAGATGGATATAGTATTAAAATAAATAATAAACAATTATATCAATGATTATATTAATGATGTATCAAATAAAATTCATATACATAAAATTCATATTCATAACTAATACATTATATATCCATATTGATTTTTATATAATACATATATTCAATATGAAAACATATAATTTCATTCATGAAAGCAATAACATTTTACTCGTAATTATATAAATACTGGGAATAGAACATATGTTCATATGACATCTTTTCAGAATATCTCAAATATGTTTGAATGTTTTACATTTGATTCAATTATTTTATATGTACATATATCTATTTATCTATAACTTCAGTACTTTTTACTGTATAATAATTCCATATCTGAGCCTTTCTTCAAAGCATGAGTACCAAAGAGGATACAGTGATCCGTTAGTCTGGATAATTGATCTAAAGCAACTTTTTTCTCATTTAATGTATTCTGCTTTTGATCACATACTTCATTTAATCTCATTACCAATTGCTTTCCTCTTGTATTAATAGCATTCGTTAATCTGAGATAAAAAATAGAATAAAAGTAATAAAACACAATATCTTAGTATGTGCACGTACACGCGCACGCATGTACGCACACAATATGTATACACACACACATATATATATATATACATATAATATATACTTACTGTACTACCATTTGTGTTATATCTTGAACAAGTACTTTTTTTCTTTTCTAATATTAGAATTTGTCTATCTTCTATAACTTTCATCGCACTTTTCAACAATACACGTTTGTAACTGAAAATTATTATTTGTCTTCCAAATTTATAATCTTCTAATGGTATCAATGCAATGTTTGTTATTATTTATAGATCTTACCTTACTTCTTTAAGTAAAATTGACATGGAAGTACGAGTTTCAGCTGCAATTTCATGAATAAATTTATATTTGTGATCTCGATGTTCGCTGAGTTGACAATCTCTACAAGTTAATTTGTCGCATGTTTGACAAAATAAAGATAATTGTTCATGGGAATGAATTGTACAAAACAAATATCCAGGTATTTTCTTATTGCCTCTTTTAACATTATCTCTATCGTTTACTATTTCATCCTTAGGTTTGATTACATGATCCTTGGTTATTTTCAATCTTTGATGTGCCTTAAAAGTTTTATTAAATATAATTAATCAATATTTTACTTACATATTCAAGAATTTATACATTTTTATTGTAAAAAATATAATATATACAATATAGAGTATTTTAAAAAATTTAAAATATAAATTTAGGATTTTAAAGCAATAAAAATTTTTTAAAGATATGCCGCAAACGCTTTGTTTAAGAGATACTAACATCTAAAATTAAAAATAATAGATAAAATTATTGTATAATTACTAATCAATTAAGGAGGTAGACCAGTTTGAAATTTTCAAAAAATCGAAAAAATTTTTTTTTGCTTTAAAAAATAGCTTGAAATCTTAGAATTAATGTGCAGAAAGTTCTAAGAGGATATTCAAAGTATTTTTTAAGTTATAGCATTTGGAGTGGAGTCGCGTACCTATGTGTGTAAATGCTCGAAGACCCGGAAGGCACAGCGTTCTATAAAATTATCATATCGCCTTTTTTGTAGTAGAGTACAATAGACATAATAAACCGATTTCTTCTTCTTTCGTAAATATTATTTTCAGAAATGTGACCGTTAACTCCAGTTCAAAATTGAGTTTGAAGGTTTGAAGGCTTGTGAAACGCCTTAGTTAGTTGCTATCTGCAGCATAATACGTTTTACATACGTATACGAGGGTGGTTTGAAAAGTCCGTGCAAAAATGAAAATTATTTAATTTTTCGGGATAAACTTTTTTATTTTTCAACATAGTCTCCTTTTAGACTTATACACTTTGTCCAACGCTACTCCAGTTTGTTGATCCTTCCGAATAATATGATTGGTCTAAGTGTGCAAAATAGGCATTCATTTTCGCAATCACCTCTTCGTTTGAATGAAATCTCTCTCCCGCTAGCAATTTCTTCGCATTGGGGAATAAGTAATAGTCGAGGGAGTCAAATTTAGAGAATAGGGAGATGCGGAACAAGTAACTCCATCAACGGAATCGTAACTCCATCAATTTTGTGGCCACAATTCCGAGGAAATGGTGCGTTGTCGTGATGTAAAAGAACTTTCTTGTGGTTCAATCGTGAACGTTTGCAACTCGGTTTTCAAACGGTCCAATAACGATGAATAATATTCACCTATAATAGTTTTACCCTTTTCCATATAGTCGATGAATATTATTCCTTGCGAATCCCAAAAGACAATCGCCATAATCTTCCCGGTCAAAGGAATAGTCTTCGCCTTCTTTGGTGCAGATTGCTGGCAATCCATTGTTTGGACTTTGGACTGTTCTTTGGTCTCAAACGTAGTGGTGTATCCATATTTCGTCCACAATGACGAAATGACGCCTAAAGTCCTGTTTATGGATTCCACTGGAACAGTTGCAAACATTCCTTGAAATACTTCACACGATTTCGTTTTTGGTCAATTGTGAGCAATCGCGGCACCCATCTTGCAGATAACTTTTTCATACCCAAATGTTGATAAAAATATTATGTTCATTCGAGATGCCCACAGCACTAACAATCTCATGCACCTTGATTCTTGATTTCTTTTATCATCTATTACTATATTATGGATTTTATCAATAATTTCTGGAGTAGTAGTTTCAACAGGATGTCCAAAACATACAGCGTCACTTGTGCTCATATGGCCATTCCGAAACGTTTGAAACCATTTATAAACTGTTCTAATCGTTATTTGCGATAAATATCATCACATCTCTGTAGTCGAAAGGACAAGGCCTGCCCGGTAAGCAGCAGATCCAGGTTTAATTCCTAGCTGAGATGATATTTTTCGCAAAAATAATTACAGATTTTTATGACTGGTTCGTAGTCAGGCCTCATCGTGGCACACACTCTCACTTCTTATCCTCTTTTTATAAAACTAAGATCATCAAATATAATTATTAAGATAATAAAATGGAGGCTTTGCTATATGCAAATCTAATATCTGTTGAAGAAGTTAGATGTCCTACTGCTCGTATTGGATTCCGAGCTTAGTTTTATAAAATCTGAGACATCTACGAGATAGTTTATTATCCGGGTATAATTGTTCTCTCTTTTTTAAGCTTGAAATAAAGACGTTTCTCAGGGATAAGAGTGGAGAGTGTCGCCGCTGCGGTCCGACCTGCATCCATCGAGAGAATAGGACTATCATTTCTCTGGAGTGGGGATTCGAGAATATACATGTATATTGTAACGATAATGAGGATTTTGATCGAATGAATGATCGAGACGTAGATGGAAATATCGGCTTTATTAATAAATTCAACTCGGATTCTGAGTCGCCAATAACGACTCATCCAAAATAGCGGGGCAGGAAGAGCGCAATACAATCAATTAGAGCGGGCCCGGTAACATGCTATTGAAGTTATACATATCTGAGAAGATGTGAATCTGGCCCGCGAGCAGCTACGGGAGTCCGGAGCACGGGATTCCGCGGTCCTCCAACCCCAAGGCCGTCGAGCGCCAGCACCGAGGTTCGCTTCTGTCGGACACATCGACGCCACTCTCATATCTGACGGTCGCCCCTAACAACGCAGCTTACTTCCGGCAGGTCGGGCAGGTAAAGTCCAGGTTGCACACCCTCAATCACAAGGCGTCCTCAAGTGTGCCCCACGCCAGTTCGAGGTTCGAGGTTCTTTCGACTCCTCTCCTTCCTGAGGTTACTTAGAGCGAATGTCTCTGTGATCAGAGTCGTCTCTTGATTAAGGCTCGCTAATCTCTGACCAACTGTCTGTTCCTCATCGTTCTTCTTCGAATTTTAAACTTCTCTCTGGCTACTCTCACTCCGGATCTCCCCACTCGACATGTGCTCTCCCCGATATTCGACATTTCCGTTATCAATGTTTGGCCCGCTCAGATTGCTATTCCTCTCCCACCTTATTTATAACCATTAATATGTTTATAACTTGTCATTCTACAATATGTATATCGCAGTATATGTACATATGTGTGTATCATTGAATTGTTGACGTGTTATTCTAAACATGTTATTTGCGATAAGTATCATCACATGCCTCTGTAATACTCTCACATGCCTCGAAAGGATAAGATGTCTGCCCGGTAAGCAGGAGATCCAGATTCGATTCCTGGCTGAGATGATATTTTTCGCAAAAATAATTACGGATTTTTATTACGACTGGTTCGTGGTCGGGCCTCGTCGTGGCACACGCTCTCTCTTTTTATTCTCTTTTTATAAAATTAACTATCACCAAATATAATTATTAAAATAATAAAATGATTCACCATAATGTTTATCAAGCTTCTTTTTGTGTCCTGAGGCGATTTGCCTTTCATAAAGTAATGCTTGCTCAATACACGAAATTCTCTTTCGTTCATTTTTCATTTTTTAGAAATCACTCGACTTCCTCGATTCAGACGAATGCCAAATACAGAGAAATAGGTCAATCTGACTGAAACTTGGTGTGTATTCTTCCAAGAGATGCTACTAACTGAAAATAACCTCGATACACACCAGTGGTGCTATCTTTCTGACTTTACACGGACTTTTCAAACCGTCTTCGTAAAATAATAGCGTATAAAATAATAGTTAAAATTATATTATAAGAATGGATCGTATATTTATGGACAAAGAGGGTTCACAAAGTTCATCGGACGTCCGAATAGAACAAGGAAAAGAAAACCGCCGAATCGTCATTCGAGCGCGAAACGACTATCACTAGCATCGAAAAAGCAAGCAAAAAAGTTGAAAACAAGTTCGGTAGAAGTGCCGATAAATGCAAGCCACGGATAATTAACTACTGCATAATTAACTTTTTATTAATTTTTATGACTAATTAAGCAAGGACGATCTGTTACACCGCTATTTGGGAGGCTTTACGCAAACAATAACAAAAGCCTAAATTCTCTGATTTGATTTGCACCAAAACGAATATTTAGCGACATCAAGACCGTAGAAATATTGCCGCATATATTGCAGCTAGCATTTCTAATAAAAGCTACACAAGCATACTTTTGATGATGCATACGATCGTCATAATTATTGGCCCGAATTCAGCTGCATTGGCGGAGTAACTTGACGCACGCGTCTTCAAAAACGAAATACAGATGTTTGCAGTGTAAGAAATAGATGACCATAAGCGATCATAAAGAGATTTCGGATTATAAACGGCTAACTACAGAGGACCGTCGCGTGCAGACTAAATGGTAGTAAGGGATCCCGAGTTCAAATCCAGTCAA